AAAATACAGTAAAAATAGAATAAAACCAAACACATACACAAGTAATATCTTCCAAGATGTCGATGGTCAGTAAGATGTTAACATAGGGGAGCATCTTCAAGGTGCTAGCCACCCCTAGGGTGGGTTGCCCTTTTTTGCACCCCATGCCAGTTGGCAGACCCAGGTCTTGACTGCTTTCCAGAGGGACAAGAGAGTTGGGGCCCGCCTCACCTCTGGGGGGAGAGTATTCCATGGGGCGGGGGCCACGGCAGAGAAGGCTCTCTTTCTGGACCCCAGAATGCTGCTTTACATCCACCTGTGCAAGAAAACCGATTCAAGACTGGTTTAAAATACCATTGAAGAAAAGGACATATTTACAGTTTCCATCTGGCAATCTGGACGTCAGGCCTATTTTTCAGTCTCTCAGGAGAGCAGGTCAAAAGTCAGTTTCTGGGCTTCTCCAGTTGTTTCTCCCCTTTCCTCCTCTGCTCTGCAACCCAGTTGGAATTCTGCATTCCAGAGTAGAAAACGGACTCCTCTGGATGCTTCAGGTTGCTTTGCACACGCTGCATTGTCTTGGCTGTTCTTCCCTGTCATAAATTTAGGAGAGTTGTTGCATAATCAGCCGCGGTCAAATACTCTTTCGCAGATAGGAGGCTCCATTGGTGAGCGCAGCCCATGGGTTTGTTATGTCACATTTTGGGGTTCGACATCCTCCTTGCCCTGTTTTGCTTTTCACAGTTCCAGACATCTTGGCAGGCTCACTTAGACTGAGATGGGCGGAGTTGTGAGGTATGTGCAGCTGCCGTGAGATCATGGAAGAGCCAAAATCTCAAATGCCAAATTAGGTGTGATGTTGAAGATTTGTTACTGGCTCAATCAATATCTTTTTTTCCTGCAGTAGTGATACGGAGGCTAGCTATGATCTTGGAGACGGATTGTGTCACAGCAGAGGCTTCTTGCCCGAGAGATAAAAGCAGGAAGTCCCTGCACTGGTCTGTAAGACTGATTTGTTAAAAATTATTTCAAGTTCCGTATTCTCACCATAATGCTGACCAGATTTGATGGGAGTTGCTAGTGCATATTTTAGCTGGGAACCTTTAATAATAGTTATATTCCCATTTTAAGACAATTGGGAAATTCAGTCATTCTAAAGGAGGAGCTGGCCCTCAGCTTGCACCAACAGAACAGGCGCCTCAGGGACCGTGTTTGATACCGTGAATTCTATATAACTTTAAGCTGATTTATTGGAAAGATATTCTGCTGGCTACCTTCTGGACTTCGTTTTTCTGGAAGTACCAAAGAGTATTCACCAAGTTAAATAAAACAGTGGGCAGTAGTAAATATTGGAACTCGGTGGTGTAATTTACAAAACCTTTTTCAAGTTAAAAAATAAAAAACAGCAACAGTGAAATAACTAACCATTATGATGGAAGAGAGAGCAGCCTCAGGTAGAACGCTTTAGGTGTCGTGGAAGAACAGCCCGTTTCACTCTTTCCTGTGATCTAGCTTGGGGTGGTGGGTTGCTACCCGCTGGTGGTCAGCAAAACAACTTGGCGGCTTTGAGCACTGTCTGCTCTTTGAGCTGAGTGTGTGAGGCTGCCATCTTCTGTTCATCTTCGGTTAGGCAGCAAAATGTCCTGGAGCTGCCTTGCAGTTGGGGTCTTAATTTCAAACAATTCTCAAGTGATCATATGTAGGAATGGTGGCATTAGTTTGGTGCCAGGCGGTTTAGCTCCAGAATCTATGGTCTCTGATGGAATCATGATCCAAAAGAAATAAATACATATTTTGGGATCAAGGATATCACATCTACGATATTAGGATCATGGATGAGAATATCATTTTAACATGTTGCTGCCAGAAACTTGAGTTGCTATTCACCTTCATCTAAAAATTACTTTGCCCTGTTCACGTCCATGGATAATTGAAACGTTAAGGGAAATTCACAGATTCCCTAATGCAAGAAATATTTTGAGTAAGTTGAAGGAAACAAAATAAAAATGTGGATGTTCTTCATTTTAAATTGATGGTTTCCTACAATGAAAGTTTCCCTTGTGGATATCTCTCCTGCATTTCCTCTTCTTCCAAAAATAACAGTGGAGGGCAGCTCCTATGGCAGGAAGACGGGAAGGGATGGGCACATTCCCACTCGGTTTTCTCTCAGATTGCCCTTCAAAATGGCTTGGAGAAATGCTGGGATGTGTGTGCATGCAATCAGGCCTGCTGGAAAAAGGAAAGGGGAAACAGTACAATGGGAAGAAAGCTTGTACATTCATAGATCCTGTTATTTCTCTGACAATTGTCTTGAAAGAGCTAGGAATAATGAGGACAGATGACCCATCCCGGTATTTGACCATAGACATTCGGAGGGGGATTTCATCTCCTTCCTCCGTGCGGTTTGGAGGGATTTGGAGGGAGCATCTTCAGGGATGCTACTGTAATTAAAATAAGAACATTTGAAGTACATGCAGTGTGATGTATAACCCCACTAACCAGAGATATTGCTGCACGGGCTTATGGGTTGAGAACTGGAGACACTTCGTTTTACTGGTTCCATTCTTTTCTGCAGGACTGCACAGGATCCCATTGAACATGCTCATCCAATTCCTAGATATGTTGACTTTCCTGCATTCCGAACTGTTAGTTAATACACAGGTGGCTTCAGTGAACTTTGGTGCACTAGCCAGGGCCCTCCCTGAACCAAAATAGTCCAACTTGAGTGATGCTCAACCATGGCCTCACAAGGATCCATGTTCACAGCTGGATTACGGCAAAGTGTGTGGAGCTACTTTTTCAGATGATCTAGAGCAGTGGTTGGTGCATTGGGCAGCAGCCAGATTAAGTGATGTGACTAAATGAAGACATTCACATTGATCCATAGAGCCATAAAAGGCTCAGGAACCAAGTATTTAAAAAATGTCTTTCTCAAGACCACCTATTCTTGCATCAGATTAGCTAGGGAGATTCTGCTTGTGGTCTCACTGATGCGTTTGACTGACAGCGTGGTAGCACCCCAGCTGAACACCCTTTCCCAGGGGAAATGTGGTGCCGCAGGCCCCATGGCTTTGAAGACATGGTGAACCACAACTGAAGCCATATTTCTTCACCTAGACTGGTGCTGGAGGAGTAACCACTGCTGCCTTTTCCTAGGAATTATATTTTAATTGCTGTGCTCTCATTGTTCTGTCATTGTAGTTGGTGGGAGTTTGTTTTGTTGTTCATTGTGTTTATCAAATTACAGTGGTACCTCTAGTTACGAACTTAATCCGTTCCATGACTCTGGTTGCAACTCGAGTTGGT